TATGGCTGGGAAAAGCAGAACGGTGAGTCCAGGGTGGAGGGGGCCAAGGGCTGGATGGTGGTGGATGGGGGTGCACCCTAGGTGCCAGATAGGAGGATGCAGCTCTGTGTGCATCATGGCCCTTCATGCTCAGCTCTCCCCCCTTTCAGGGCCTCCATCAAGCCCCTCCACCACCTCCATGGGCTCCCAGAAATCCACAGAGAGCATCGTTGGCTCCAGGTGAGGCTGTGGGCAGAGGGATCTAAGGGCCCAAACAATGGCACATCGCAGGGAGAGGGGAACGGTGCTGCTTCTTGGGTGCTGCAGGTCCAGTGTCCCCTGCCAGGTCCAGCACAATAAGAAGGGTTGATGCTCCAGCCCCTTCCCTGCAGCAGGCTGGGATCCAGCTGCCCTTTGGGAAAGTGTGTGTCCCTTCTGTTAACTCGCCTGTATCCCCACAGGTTTAGCCTGAGCAGGGGCAGGGGGCCCAGGGTGGCGCTGCACCTGCAGTCCCTCAGCCCGGAGAGTGAGCACTCCAGCAACCACAACTACCTCCCACTGGTAAGGACCCTGTCCCCATCCCACCCTGCTGGGTTGCAGCCGCACTGCCCAGGAGATGCCTGGCACCACCAGCAGCAGCAGAGAAGGATGCTGGACAGTGCCTGTGCCCCAAGGACGCTCCTGCAGACCCACCACTGGGTGCTGGGGGTGCACTGGGTCTGTGCCCCTGCCTGCTCCCCCCAGTCACCTGGCCCCCTATTGCAGGTGCAGCTGCAGCAAGCCAGAGGCCCATTCCAGCTCACAGAGAGCTTCTCTGATGTGGTGCAGATACCGCTGGACCGCTTGCGCCGGGCCTCCCCCTATGCCTCCCACCGCGCCAGCCTCAGCCATGTGTCCCCAGGGGCCAGGAGCAGCCCCAAAGCAGGGCCTGGCAGCGAGGAAGGCGAGGATCCCACCACAGCCCTGCAGCCCGGCTCACCCCCTTCCCAGAGCACTTGCTCTGAGGTGCCCAGTGCAGCCGTGTGGGCACAGGCAGACAGTGGGCATGGCTCTGAGTCTGACACTGGCCCCCACTCAGCTGCCCCCTCCGCGGCTGGCATGAGCTGGCAGGGCCACGGGCCAGAGGAGCTCGAGAGGGCC